AAAGGCGGAATTTAATCAACCATGCGTCTTTCCTTTGGAACTAAAATAGTTAAATTCTCTCAGTTTTCGTCAGAATTAAGTATTTAATACATTTCAAACAACAGCTAGTGACATAAACTAAAAATTTAAAATATTTACCTGGACATTTATACCAGGCACATTTGATGGTTTCGTTGTTTTCGTTTTTCTTGATATTGTTTTTATGTAAGAACGAAAATCAGAATTGATTGGTTGTCGTGTTGTAATTTTACAGTTTAGTTTAGCTTAGCTTCGGCGAAATTCGGTTCAGTAGCGAAGCCTGACCGGGCAAAATATATTTTAACAAAACAAGCAAAAACAACAAACATGAAAACTCATATAAACAAACGCACAAAACAAGTTAAAATTAATACACATACCAGGAAGGATATTTTTACGACGCTGTCGAAGTAAGCTTCGACGTAAGCTTCGACAAATATACTTCGCAGTTCACAATTTGGCTGAAATGTAGCACAGCTGTGATGTTTGCTGGTGTGCCTTGAACATCATTTCTGTCAGAGTGTCACAGTACAAATCTATTTTATTAATGTAACTTTCGCTTGAAACCATTTGGATAAAATTATGGTTCCAATTTCATAGGAAACCTTACGCATGCACGGACAGTGGAAATCTTCTCCGTTTTTGCATGCCATGCCATGATATTTTAACCGTATTGACCATTGTGCTTGGGCATCAATACTTTTATTCCGTGCTAAAGGAATGAAAATTAGAGGCAAGTTTAGTAGCGAAAGACGAAAAAATTTTCGTGCGCGCGAATCTGTTTGCGCACGTCATCTTATTGATCTTACGTTATTACTTCGCTAGTACAATGAGCTGTCTATATATCTGGAGGGCCTGGAGCAAGAACATCAGTCATTCGGCCCATGAAGTGAAGCCAATTAGATGGCGCCCATTGACGTCCATTAGCTCTGAAGGTTAGGCTTCTACAGATTATGCTCGGCAACTTTTTGGCAACTTTTTGCATTTGAAGCAACTCTTTATGATTTTATTATTATTATTTATTATTATTAAAGTCTTTATTGTCTAGAGTCACAACAGACGTGCAACTTTACAAATATCAAATTCCTATTTATTACAGTTAAAAAATTGATCGATCCTAATTAATTATATGAAAGTTAAAAATATTTGAAAAGAGATCTATTTATGAAGGATCGTTTAAATCGTTCCGTTTTAATTTGAGGTAAAATAAAGTTATGTTCCCTTTGTCTTAAAATACTTTGTTTACACACAGGAAGCAATTCATGTAGGGCATGTTCTGGATTCGATACGATTTTACTAAATAATTTTCTGTCTCTCTCCTCGATCACTTCAGATATCTTAATACTCTTTGTCGTATATCAATAACGATAAGCCCGCCGGAAAAACTTGTCTATACGATCCAAATATTTCTTTTGGAGTGCAGAACCCCACACTTCAATGCAATAGTAAAAGAGTGACATGATTAGCGAATTGAATAATTTGCTTAGCTGATCTGCAGAGTAACCATAGCATCTACACACTCTCAATATGTACATACGCCCACTAGCCTTCGACAGAAGATCATCGATATGAAAATCCCAGCAACATGGCCGATTTTCCTGAAATGTGACACCTAATAATTTCAACCAGCTCTTTCGTTCAATGCCTACAATCGGTGCCGGTAACGGTTTCATAGACCCACCGTGCACAACCATTTCCCACGTTTTAGAAAGATTTAATGTTATTTGAGTTGCTTCCGACCAATTTTGAATGCTTTCCACCTCAGCCTCAGCAGAATCCCATCCTGATTTTACTGGAGCACTTGTCGTTATATCATCAGCAAATTTAACCAATAGGTTATTTTGCGCATCCATGGGTTTTATATCATTAACCATCAACGAAAATAGAAAGGGATCCAAAACCGTACCCTGCGGTACGCCTTTGTTAATATCAACATAAACAGTTTCTATGCCATCAACAACAACTGTTTGTTTTCTGTTGGCCAGAAAACTAATAATCCAGTTTATAGTATACGGGTTAATTTCGAGTGTTTTCAATTTTTCACAAATAATGTTATGAGATACCGAGTCAAACGCTTTCTTATAGTCAAACGATATTACCCTAACAGAGTCTGCACCTTCATCCAGCCACTTGAGCCAATGATGCAAACACATAATCAGAGCATCGGCAGTATTTGTTCCCTCTTTATAAGCAAATTGATTATTATTATTATTATTATTATTATTATTATTATTATTATTATTATTAACTATATTTCAACACGGTACAATTTCACCTATACTAAAATTAATTATGTACAAGATATAAAAAGAAAAAAAAGTGATCTTCCAACCGGCCGTGCTCACACAAACAGAAATAAGAAATAATTACAAGAAAATTATTTTAGGTAGATGGAAACAATGGCAAGATCACTTGATGTTAATTTGCATGCTTCAAGTTAGATTTAAAATTAGCAATAGTTGTTGATGCTTTTACCGATGCAGGAAGACAGTTCCAGACTTCCGCACCTCTGTAGGAGAATGCATTTTTCATACTATTTGTTTTTGGTTTAGGCAATGTCAAATCGGCTCCCGACTGTCTTGTGTTATGGTCGTGTACATCACCAACATTTGTGAACATATCACACAAGTAATCGGGGACCAATTTGTTTTTCACCTTGTACACGAGAATTGAAAGTTGTTGCATTCTTCTTTTTTCGAGGTTCCGAACTTTTAGCTTGTTTAATATATCAGCCGATCGTGTCGTATAATTCTCACGAGTGATTATTCGAAACGCTCTGTTTTGTAATTTTTGGACTTTAGCTGCTAATGTTTTCCCTAAGCAACCCCACACTTGAGCACAGTAATCGAAATAAGGTTGAATTATGGATTGGTATATTGTTATTAAGGTATTGAATTCGACTGTATCCCGGAGTCGTCTGAGAATAGCAAGGCCTGAAGTGACCTTTTTTGAAATGTGTTCGACCTGCGCGGGCGGGATAGTCTAAATGGCGCGGGTCGCGAGTCAATAGATCATGGCGCGGGTCCAGCGAAAATGGCGCGGGTCCAGCGAACATGGCGCGGGTAACAAGTTCCGAGGCGCGAGTAAAAAGTTCCGAGGCGCGGGTAACAAGTTCCGAGATCAATTACCCGGTACTAAATATATTCAAGATGGCGGCTATTTTGACTAAAAATTCTGCAATTATTCGGTCAAATATCGTCTCTTTCTGTGGAAACTCTGCGAGCTTCAAACTTAAACTTAAACTCAAAATACAAGCTCAAATTAACACTAATGCATCGAGTTTATAAGCAAAAGAGTTTATAGCCACCATTTTGATGTGCAACCAAACAAAGTCCTAAGTATGAGATTGACTTATTAGGTTGACCTCTGGCATTTTTTGTTTGGTTCTTTGCTTTTTACCCGGGGGTAACCCCCGGGACAAAATTATTCAAACAATTCCCTACCCCCGGGATTAGTTTTTTTGCATTGTCCCGGGGGTTGCCCGGGGGGAGGATGGTAACAGAAGGAATTGATTCACGCATAATGCATTCAGAATTATGTCAAACTGATCATATAATTAAATTATTAAAAATGTCATACAGTATATGAATCAGGCAATTCATAAATTATTAAATACTGATTACTGGTTAACTGGTATAAATACTATAATTTTTAAGCCGCAAAATATTGTGGGGCTTAGAATATTGTGGGGGTTTTCTAACCAAAATTGCATAGAGAATTTTGATTAATTATCTTTTTACCTTATTTAACAGATTAGTATTTACAGTATATAAATTAATAAAATTATTAAATATACTGACAGTGACAGACTCCATCCAAACATTCCAACTGTTCACTCTCTTTGCGTTTAAAAATATGCAGAATATAACGCCTTCAAACGTGATTTGCTTAAGTTAACTGATGTCTGTTAGTTTAAGTTTGAAGCTCGCAGAGTTTCCACAGAAAGAGACGATATTTGACCGAATAATTGCAGAATTTTTAGTCAAAATAGCCGCCATCTTGAATATATTTAGTACCGGGTAATTGATCTCGGAACTTGTTACCCGCGCCTCGGAACTTTTTACTCGCGCCTCGGAACTTGTTACCCGCGCCATTTTCGCTGGACCCGCGCCATTTTCGCTGGACCCGCGCCATGATCTATTGACTCGCGACCCGCGCCATTTAGACTATCCCTGTGCGGGCCAGTCTAAAGACTCGTCTATCATTAGGCCCAATGATTTTGTCATTTCAACTCTCTTAATTTCAGGATCGGCAGTCACTTGACTAAGCCTTTTCTTGGAACCAATTATCATATATTCGGTTTTACTATTGTTCACAGTTAATTTGTTTGCGGTCCGATCACTGATTTGAATGCAGACGCAATCTCCTGTTTATAAACTACCCTTTCAAATAATCTCATAATGATGTTTGTGAGCGATATAGGCCTCAACTGATTACACTCTGTTAAAGGAGATTCTTTGGGTAAAGGGTTCACATTGACGAGCTTCCACATCAGAGGGACACATTGTTGTTCGATTGATAGATTGAACACTTTGGTAATTATGGGCGCTAAAAGTTGTGCAAAGTCTTTCTATAACCAATATGGAAGCCCATCAGGACCTGGCGCTGTTAGTTTTAGTTTCGCAAAAAAAACTTATAACAGTAGGCTCATCAATGGTAGGAACTCGAGTGCCTACAGGAATTGGTATGAGTTGGGGGGATATATAATTCGCATCCGTGTTTACATTTTGAAAGTACGAGTTAATATGTTGTGGATCGATGACTGAGCTAATATTGCTGTTCTTGCTTTTTCTGCCAGTAATTCTATTCAAAGTATCCCACCACTTTTTGGATCCAAAACTATTTTTTCTATTCTCATCATCAACGGAACGAACAAGATTTTCACGAATTAGCTCATCAATACGTTTTTGAAGATCATTATTGACTCCCTTCGCTATATTCTTATTCCTTATCTTACATAAGTGTTTGACCAAAGAAGACATATATGGTGGGTCACGTGTTGACATTTTACTTTAATTAACGGGAAACAGTCATTAAACATGTTAGTGATAGTGTCATTTAATAGAGTAACTGTATCATTGACATTATTGCAATTATGAATGTGACTCCAATCACATGTCTCTAATTTCCTCATCATACTGAACTTCCGATGAGCTCTTACGTCTCTAAAGTAGACATCCTTTCTTTCGGGTTTTATAGCATGTCGCGGAGAAACCATGACAACCAAATGGTCAGATCTTACTAGACCTTTAAAAACCTTTGACTTTTCCCAAAGATGTGGACAGTTGGTTAAAAATACATCCAAAATTTTATGATTTCGGGTAGGCTTCTTGACTAATTGTTCCAAGTTGTGCTGACTGATAAGGTCTTTTGTTTTTAATTGATTAATGCCTCCTGCTATAATTATTCTTGCATTGGGCTCAGGATAAAGAACCTGTTCTATAGTTTCAGACAAATGATTTAGTAACTCAGTCTCAGGATAAATGGGGTCAGGTGGGTGATATACTGAAGCTACGTAGTATTTAGTATTAAGTGTTACAATTTCACACCAAACACACTCAAGGTTGTTGTCAAAATCAAGATTTTTAACTTTCCAGTCGTCTCTACACAGAATAGCCACTCCACCCCCCGACCGCGAGTCACACCGGTCTTTTCTGACAAAAACGTAAATGCCGAGACACACCAGGCTTGACGGAATTTTGTCGTTTAACCATGTCTCAGTAACGAAAAAAATATCAATGTTATTAGTACACGACTCAACGTTTAGGGAGACAGCAGCATCAGGTTTTGCTAGAGAACGAGCGTTAACAACCATGCATTTGGGTATAACTTTAGGAATTGGAGGTCCCGTTTGTTCTAATGTTATACTAATGTTGTTAGTTGTGTTGCGGGGTCCAGGCGTTCTTGCCATAATAGGGGGCGGCGATATTTCCCACACTGTGGAAAAAAAGACTGTTCGATTTCCCATGCATTATTTCTGTTTCTTATTCTCCTTACAGTTCTACGCGATGCTTGCTTTTTAGCTGGACGATGGCTAATTCGGACAGGGATCTGAAATGTTTCTTTTGAATTCAACACGTTTGGCGTAGCATTTAAAGTGCCTTCGGCTTTGTTTCCACTGGGTTTTTTTAATTACATTTGTAGAAGCACTTTTATGCGATTGTTCGGTATTGCTGGTGGCAGAAAGTATGTTTAGATTTCTGCCCTCATGGGAAAGCTCACCTACTTTCGACTGTTCACTATTGTTCCTAACAGGGAAAACCATCTTTGTCAGGGTTAATTCCTCTTGTGAGTGATTGATGGATTTTGGCAATGGCACCAAATCGTGGTGTGAAGTTTTCTCGCATGACTGATCTATAGCCGTAAAAGTTTCTGGTTTGTCCGGTACTTTTATTGGTGTGAAGCATGCATCGTTAGCGGTCCGACCAACAACGGGATTAATGTGAGGATTTGATTTACTAACTTCTTTTGTTTTGTTCGCGCCGCCGCTGCTAGTGCATGTAGAGGTTGTCAAAATATTTTCGAGATTTGCATGATTTTTCGACTCTTTTGGTCGGCAATCGTTCATGCGTAATATTTGGTTTTCCATGGCTTGGATTTTATGGCTGAGTTTCGATTCCAAAACGACCAAGTCTAATTTCAAACCCTCCAAGTCTGGTGATAACTTCGAACATACACAACCCGTACACTGATGTTTTGTTGGTTGGTTTTCGTTGAAGGAGTTCTCGGTGTTAGTAGCCATGTCGACGCTAGACTTGACACTATCGAGGTTTAAACTCGTAAACATAGCGTTGATCATACAACATTTAATTCGATTTGCATCCTCTCCATTGATCTTTAGGAACTTTTTGTTTTTCCACCAAAGCAACTCGAC